CCTAGGGTAAGCGTAGCAGTCCCTAGGTTACTCGAATAATCGGATTGCTAGTAGATTCGAGGAAAAGAAGCTTTCTTCTACTAGTTTCCATAGATCCTAGTTACTCTCGCTTCTTCTTTCGTTAGCACGAAATCCTTACTTTTACCTAGGCTTAGGTATCTAGTTTAAGAAGTCGTCTCTTCTAGTATTAACCTTGCTAATCTACGGTTTATCCGTAGTAGAGTAGTAATTATAAAGTTAACTAAATTAATAGCAACTATAAGGTTTACTACTAATTAGTATAGGTTTTACAAGGGGTAAAACGGAATTCCGTTCGTTAATAACAAATAATAGTAAATTAGTTCTAATCGATAGTTTATGATAGTTGAAAGTGGTGTTGTTGACTAGAAGGTGGGGATATTCCCCCTTGGCCTGTCACGTGGGTCTGGGAGGCTTGGGCCTCTCAGCCTGGCGGGCGTGTGGCTGGAAGTGCCACACGACTCCGTATTCCAACTATCGCAACATCTATTGATACTGGCTATTTCTATACTGATTAAACTGTGATAACAGAGCCACATTTTCTTTTAGAAAAAGGTAGTCTTTACAAGAAAGTTAAAGAGGTCCCACCATTGTTTGAACTATAACTCTAGATTGAATAAAAGGATTGGCACAAAATGAATGATTCGCATATAGCTTATCCCCACTATGCAGAAGTAAATAAATACCCTTTGACTCTTAACTACAATGTAAAAACTCTGATAAACGTCTCACATTGTAATGATGGTTTAGAGATTCATGTCGAAAATAGCGGACCATAAGTTGGTAGCGATAGAAAATGTGCTAAATACATCCTAAGATAGCTTCAACCAGAACTGGCATGGCAAATAACTATATACATATGAAAAACAAAAAGCGAAGCGACCGATGGGATACATCAGGAGCAGTGTGTTGCTTTTGCACACCACATCTACTCCCTTCTGCCCTTGAGCACTAAGCAGTTGCACCCGACAAAGTGAACGAGTAGTCCACGCCTGTGTTGACATCGGACCCAAGAGAAAAGGGGTCGAAAAGAATAAGGTTGGCCGGCGTGTTAGCAACGACGAGGCTGGCTTCTTCTCCCCCAGCAACACTCACGCTACCTTGGCCGTTGCTAAGCTCAACATATCTGACCGCACCGCTGCCTGTGTTTCTGACGACCAAGTGAGAGGTAAGCTGGCCGCTCGTGGTGATTCTGACAGTCACCGTGCCGGACGGGTTCTTGAGGGGGATGATGTTTGCGCCCATGTAGCGCGGCCTGCGTGCAGACTTTACGCGGTAGGTACCACTGCCGGCCGAGTCGACGTTGGCGTAGTTGATCCGGCTCCTCTGGTTCAGGAATACGGTCCGCGCCTGGGTGTGCCCAATGTCGAGGTATGCCATGCGAGCCCAGTATTTCCCAACGATCCTTGCAACGGTCGCGCCAGTGGATACACGTTGCAGAGTGTGAAGGGGAGTCTCATTGGAGTTGGCGCTGTATCGGACCATGAGCTGGCGCAACACATCGCGCCCGAGACCGGCAAAGTTGTCCGGGTTGTTGGTGATGTAGGTGAAGAACGGCCATGCCTGGTAGTAGTTTCCAGACCCAGCACTTCCATCTACAATGACTTGGAAAGAGTCACCAATTGTCTTGATGACATCAATCTCGCTGGTCTGAGGAGTTGCCTGCCCATACTGGCTCCGGGCGTTTGCGCACAATGGCGAAGTCAAGAACGTGTCGGAAACCCAGTTCGCCAGCGTCTCCCACCAGGCGCCTGTTCGGCCTTGGTTGACCCAGGTCTTTTGGTGATAGTGGAGGCCATGTCCGAACTCGTGAATTGTGACAGGAGTGACGAGGTACGGGTTTGCAACCTCCAGCCATGCCATGCCGGTGGCGAAATCAGAGTGCATAACACCGGCAGCACCGGGGAGGTTTGCAACACTGTAGATGTTGACCTTGACCCAAGGTCCATCATTGTCATTGTTGTCGTTGTAGGAAAGCCCGGTGGACCGCCAGCCGAGGGTGTCAACAAAGCAGGAGTAAACACCCTCCAGCATCGACAAGGCGCGGTCTGCGGCCCCTAGATCGGAGGCATAGACACGGAAATGAGCAGAGTCTCTATATGAGGAACCGCCAGGTCCGATGTTGGGATTTGCTGTAAAAGATGCCGGAGGGGCGCGAGCAACAAGAGTGCGGGTTGCGCGGTCTGTGATGATTAAGCTGGGGTTATCGGACGTGTTAATGTCAACACCTTTACAGACTGGTTGGGCCTGGGCCGGGTAGGCATGGGCTCCCTGCAGGAGGGCGATGGCTACAGTAAGAGCAGCGAACTTGGTCATGGTGGCAAGCAATATTTACCCAATAATTTTGACCGTTTGAGGTAAGAAAAGATAATGTCAATGGTGTCCAGACATGGATCATGGTAAAGTGAGAGAAGAATTGCCGCCTTATATGGTGACCGGTCACTACATGCTTGAATGCCCGCCGTTTCGTCTTAACCATTTATTTGGAGCACTTCTTGCTGTTTAACTGCTCTTGGCGACAATCAAAAGATGCCAATCGTTGATCAGACACTCAACGACTTTCCACAAGACAACTCACAATTTGCTCGGTGGCTCGTCTTGAAAGGATTGCTGACCCCAGTTCGATTACAACTTCGCTTAGATTAGAATTACTGGTGGAATTCTTTTGAACATAGGGGAATTAACACCCCTCACCATTATTTCAAGTATGTTAATGGGTGTAGGCCAGGGTGTTGGTGGCTGTCAGCTCTCCCGTTGAAATCCTACCGTCACCCGATCAGGCCAATCCTCATGACCGCAGCATCACATTGCAATTTGCTCGTCTGTCTTCGCGAGGTCATCATTAAGTCTAATTCAAGATTGTGCGAGCCTCATGCATTGTTTGGACGCCAGTTCCGTGGGCTGTTATCCGAATGAAACGAAGGAAGGCATGAATCCGGTTTGCCAAAGATGGATTAACTAAATGAAGGATCGGTCGGAAAGTTCCAAGCTTTGGCCATGAGCGTCTTGATCGGATACGACGGTTTCTGTGACATGGCGTGGTCGTCGTTGTGGCCGTCGCTTACCATCTTCGTTAACCCGGCTTCATTGTTAACATCAAACCAACCAACAGGACATGTAGGTCTGGATTTAACCTATATTAAGGTTCAAATACAGCAATTGTAGTTTAATTCAATGTGGACTGGTGGTTACGTAACTAAATGTGACTACGATGCTGAGCGGTCTGGTGAAGAAGAATAACATGCAGTCCTTGGGTCCATGGTAAGAGATACTATGGAGTCGTTGGAAGCCGACCCAACACATCGGTTTGATCACTTGACTGCCGTTGACTGAAACATGAAAATGGGTAAAGCCAAGAGAATTAACTAACTAGAGAATGCTTGCACAAGGCAAATTACCGCAAATGTCATATAAAGGAAAGTAACATCCAATTTAGGTGGCGCAACAGTGCTATTCCTTCGCTGTTGTGCGCTTGAAAATGGCGATTGTTGATGACTTGCGCACCAATCAGGCTAACAATTCAGTCAAAAAAACAACTGCAATTTTTCTAGTTGCGGTATGGTCTCGGCAATTCGAAATGTCACCTTCCTTCTTTGCAACGACTTAAACTCTTGGCAAACCCCTTCATACATCCAAAGAAGAACGCACCATGAATCTCCGTGAAAGTGGACCGGGACTCAACCCGAGCTTGCAGGTATCACCCGGTAATTGTCCCCGGTATCTCGAAGGTGATATTGCAGGTTTTCTTTACATTCATATGGTGTACGTAAAAGCCCTTTCCCTGACTCGCAAGGTAAGAGTCCGCTGCTTTTAAGCTTAATACGGATGGTCTAAAGCAAAGAATTCAGTCCTGCGAATTTGAAATCTCTTGGGAAGGCTTGATACCTAGGGATTCCCACTATCCTGGACTGCAAAACTATGTGGAGGACGGAATCACCGGCCTCTGCTGGAAGAGATGATGGGGGTATTCTTGTTGATTTGAAACGTGATACAGGCGAAAACTAGTAGATTCCTAGGGCAGAAGCCATGCATCTTGTGCCTCGTTCTCAGGATCAGTGATTAATCAAGCTTTGGATCTATGAAGTACTCGTGTTGAAGCCAACAAGCAGCTTTACGACTAGCTATTACGACGGTGATACAACGAACGCACATATAGATATAATGAATTTGTAGCACTATGAGATGTGCCGGAAATTAAGCATACTCACAACGAAACAGATGACTGCGCTCAGACGACGACGTTACATGGACTTTTGGTACAAAGTTCAAGGGAAATAAACGTAGGATACCAAGAACGCTAACCTCTAGCAGTGTCAACATGTCAGCCAATCGGTGTTTTGCCACGGGGTCCAATCCGACTTTTGCAAGGGTGCCCGGTATCCATCTCCGGTTCATCCATTGAATCCTCGTATCGCTGTCATAACGTTTTGGGTAGAAGGACGCAGAATTTTCCATTGGCGGTGTTTCTCCAACCTCACATCCTCAAAGCCACCCGAGTCGGGAGTTTATAATACCCCGCCTGTGCCTACGGTGCTTTTCAAAGCCACCAAACATCGGTAAAGTGCGGAGACCCCGCTTCCGCCTGAAGCGGGCCACTAACAAGTTATTCGGACATGTCCAACACCGCTGTCGTATGACGTCTTGCCTCTGGCGCATCGGGGACTCGGGTTAACTTATTCTGCAAAAGGAAATGCTCTTTTGAGTTGCTCTCTAAGGTAGTTGAAGTTGAGCTCGTTAAGACAGATGACCGATGACCTTCCTGTTAGCTTCTATGCTACAGCGGGGAAAACGAACTCAGGCTGCACGTAACTCTTTTCGTAAAGGAGTATTGCCGTATAGGGTTTGTATAGCATAAACAAGTAAACATTCACCAAGGAAAACCCCTATATATCTTCTAGTCTGCTCTGGTTTTTAGAACAGTGTACATCTGGGTCTACAGGTTTCCTGGCTCACTTTCGAGTTGTGCTCTGTCTGCTGCAGAAATGCATTCACTCGCCTCCATTACTTCCTTGCTACTTCAAGGCTTATTAGTTGCCGCTCAAACCACCATCACTTCGACGGGCAACCCAATCCTTGCCGATGGATCATATTATTCTGCAGATCCAGCTCCGCTGGTGGTGAACAACACTGTTTACATCCTGAGCGGCAGAGACACTGCGCCCGCCAACCAAAACGCGTTTGTCATGAACGAGTGGCAGATGTTCAGCAGTAGTGATCCGCGTCCCTCCGGTGCTCAATGGCAGTTCCGTATCAACATTGCTCGCCCAGAGTCAATCTTCTCCTGGGCCACTTCAGGAAGCGCCTTTGCCGCACAGGTCGTCCAAGGGCGGAACGGGAGGTTCTATCTTTACGCACCCGTCAACCAACGGTCGACTTCTAGCCCTGATCGATTCGCTATCGGCGTGGCTGTGTCGAGCAATCCTTGGGGCCCCTTCACTGATGCTCATCCAAGTGGCCCTATCATCTCGCAGACAGTCCCTCAGGCAAACAACATCCAGAACATTGACCCGTCAGTTCTTGTTGACGATAACGGCCGCGTCTACCTTTACTGGGGCACTTTCGGTCAGCTGCGGGGCATCGAACTGGCAACAGACATGGTTACGACCATCGGATCGGCCATTTCCGTCAACAGTCTGACCGGGTTCTTCGAAGGCCCCTGGCTGATGAAGAGGCAGAGCACTTACTACATGCTCTACGCAGCTAACAATGCTGGTTCGAATTCGCCCTGTACGCCGACCTCATACCATGCCTGCATCGCCTACGGAACAGCCTCATCCCCTCTAGGACCGTGGACTTTCAGAGGTGTGGTGCTGGACATTGTCTCATCTACCACGTCGCATCCTGGCGTTTTCCAATTGAACGGCCAATGGTATCTAGTATACCACACCAGAGACGCAAATGGCGGTGGTCACTTCCGTCGCAGCATCGCGATCGACTATCTGAATTGGGACGACGGCCAGTCGCCGGCTCGCATCAACAAGGTCGTCCAGACGCGTCGCCAGCAGCCCGCTGCCCCCGCAACCCGCAACATCGCCCCTCGTGCCGTGGCGAGTTCCGTGAATCAAACTCCCATCCAGTACTGGACCAAATCGCTCAACGACGGTTGGATCCCGGGCAATCCGCTCCCGCCGGACTACTGGTCTTCGTACAATGGCAACGCGTCGCCGCAGACCAACACGCTTGTTCTGACCTGGAGTTCTGCCGTGACTCTTAACGGTGCTAGGATGGTGTTTTTCGCGGATCAGCCTGCTGGGTCAAACATCGGCGTGCCGCCGCCGGCCAACTGGCGACTCGAGTACTTGAACAGCAATAATGCTTGGGTGTCGGTTAGTGCAAGCACCGGATATCCTACTGCGGTCACGGACAACCCTTCCACCGTCAACTTTGCCCAGATTAGCACTAGATCACTCCGTGCAATTCTTACAGCGTCTGGTGGCAATGGCCAATTCGGAGGCGTGGGTGTGAAGGAGTTTGAGGCTCTTGCCCCGAATCCTCAGTGATTCACGAGATTGAGACCCGATGGACGACGAAGGACTAGTCTCTTAGATAGATGCCTGTTACCAATGTTACTCAATATCATCAATGGTACTAAAGATGTAAGGTATCAATGTCTTTTGTTTTTTATGATATGTGAGATGAAGCTAGCATGCGCGATATTCGGTATCAAGATTGTATTTCAAATGAGTCTTTAGGACCCTTGTGTGCAGCTGGTACCTAGTCGAGATGACCGGGTTATCCAAACAGTTTTCTAGCATTACCTGAGCGTACTGCTCCTGCTTTCGCAGGTTCGTCAAACACTTCCTCAATATCCTGGTCAAACTTGACGCTTCCACTCGCTCCCAAGGCATACGGAGTGAACGGTGTGTCTGTCCCAAAGAGCAGCTTTTCGTAGGTCACCCATCGCAGTAGCGGGGGAATCGCCCACGTCACAGGCCACGGTCCGGCGAAGTCAAAATAGAAACTCTTCACAAGTGTCTCCCTCATTCCGGCTTCTGTCAGATTAAGTTCCATTTCCGGGGGCGTGTAATTAACAATCCTGTCCAGCGTGGGAATAAGGCCACCGCCAGCGTGGGGTATGATCCACCTCAACTGGGGGAACCGACTCGGTATTCTCGAATAGAATAAATCGGCGAACGTTCGCGCTGTATCAAAGGTAAAATCCAGCGTGGGAGCTCTTACTTGTCGAGCTGATACCGGTCTATTGAGAGCCTGCCACTCCTTCTGCGTGATTCCCGGTGCTTCTCCGTCAATTTTGTACTTGGCGTGGTTGTACTCGGTACACGGCGTAGTAGGGTGCTCGAAAATGGTAACATTGAGTTCATTGAGAGCATTGTAAACTGGGTCGAGATCTGGATCGCCAAGGTACATTCCATAAAAGTTGGACATGAGGACAATCCCGTCGGGTCTCGGTTCTAGTTTGGTAAAAATGTATTCGATTTCTTTCAAGGACGCATTTACGTCCGGGAGAGGAAGCGATGCGAAGAAACCAAACTTGAGGGGGTATTTGGCTTTGAGCTGGGACGCGTATTCGTTGACCTGTCGGGCTAATTTGGTGGCATTTGCTGTCGCGACCTTTGACGGCACTGATAGATAGACCCCGGGACTCGAGATGGATAGGTAAGACTTCTCGATATTCTGTTCTGCCATGAACTGCAGGTGTATTTCTGGATCCCACGCCTGTCGAGCGTCAGCGAAGACTGGATTGTAAGCGTGAATACTGGGGGGGACAAACCGGAATGCCTGGCATGCCGTCCGGGCCTGGAATGTGACCCGCATCTCTCAAAGCTTGTGCATAGAAATCGGGCAGATAATGGACGTGGGTATCTATTTTGGCTGTGGAACAGGCCGCCGATGTCGCCAAGGCGACAAAGGTCGATAAAGAGCAGGTAGCAAATAACATCTGCTTCATCATGAGCCGACTCATCGTGGTTTTATTCTTTCTTCGCCACAGTCTGCCAAAGCAGACCGCAGAGACGCGGTGCTTGCCTCTAAATAACCAAATCAGCTGGTGGCTAATCTATGCCTAGGTATGCTACGTCAGATGAACTCAGCTTTATCGATGTCTCGGCGGCATTGGTAAGCTTACATATACGAGAAGCAAAGGTTGACCAATGGTCGGATTCCACGCAAATGGGATGGCTGAATTGAAAGACCGCTAAGACACACGTTATGACATTACTGTCATGTCTAACCAAGGGGGGAAAGCTGGTGCATATCCGCGCGGTGAGACGATCAACGGCGGGCGGCATGGTACGAAACTTTCGACGCTTGCCTCTGGATCGCCCTATTGTGCGATGCGAGTCCCCATGATAGTTTGAGGTCTGTTCAAATAGGTCTTTCCCTGGCATTTTCCGTCGTATATCTTCTCCTAAGAGGCACTGCGCGCCGCAGTATGGTGTATCATCCTTTGAGCAGGGGACTGCAAATACTTACCATACATTAGGTGGCTTGTAGAGAGGCATCAGTAATCCGTCAGCCATCCATCGTGCTTGTCATTGGCCTGGGAGTTGTCTTACATGTGATCGATCTTCAGGGGTACTTATAGCGGCCCGAGATATTCTCTTTGATTAGCGGCCTGATGATTGGTTTTCATCTTTCTTGTTGTGTATTGTCATTTCACAAGACATCATTTATAAGTAGCTGCATCTACAGATTAGAATTATATGTAAAAACCTAGCCAGCCTAGACACGTTCATCGCTGATCGAGATCTTAGAAAATTTAATATTTAGGCTTTGCTGACAACATTGTATTCCATGTAGCGGACCTTACTGAATCACACCAATATCTACCTTGTCAGCAGCTGTTAGTGAATTAGACTTTAAATCATATTGATCTGATTCACTCGGCAAATAACAATCTACTTCATTGTCTGGAAGCAGTTCATCGCCTACAACGTGGCAATCCACCTACAACAGCTATAGGAGATATCATCAACCGAAGAACACGTAAAACCTTGGCCTTTGAACTCCCGCACAAGCCTTGACCCAGTATTCTAGTCACATTCCCTGTACGACACGCATCCAATGAATAATCTATGTCCCTCGACTTAGGTCATGTTGCTGACGGGACACTCGGCCCCCGCGATGAAGAGTGCGGGGCACACCGCTCGCGCGTTCACTTACTCCTTTCAGTGATTTTAGCGGTCCCTTGCCTTGAGCGCGGCTCGACATACGCAATCGCGTTAGCCAGCGATCCCCCACATAACCCACACTATTACCTTGCTGCTTCCCGCCCATACCAGCATGCCGCCATGTTTGCCTTCGGCTTTCACGTTGAGCGCCAGGTAATGTTGTATGTTTCTCAAGTATCAGGTGAAAAACGACAATAGAAACACTTGTCGCAAACCATCAGACGTTCCACATTTTGTTTGATGCCTTCGGATGAAGAAAGCCGCCATAGAGACGGGCCTGCGATAATCTACTCCCTAGACTACATGTTCCATATTATGATGAACATGCGTAAATCATCATACCGGGGCGTTAGGTTACATCCGTGCCCACATCAAAATGTGACCAGGTTTATCACAAGAACAAGAACAAGCTTCTGAGTTTAGCTGATGTGCCTGCATCTCAGCTGAGGGGGCAGTCTTTTGTCGGCAGAAGAATCGGCACTGTAGTCGCTCGACGATAGGACGGATAGAACGAGTAAGTAGTTCACTATATATAGTTATACTCTTGTAGAACGGTGAGTTAAGATCTTGAACAAACCGCCTTCTCGTCTCATCAACATCTGAAGTTCGTCACACACGCATGGGCTGTCTCCTCAGTTCCGTTATTCAAGCCCCTTTACTATTCTTCTCTGGGCCGAGTCATTACGCCCAACATGATCGGATACCGTTCACTTATCCTTAACCTGCTCCTCATATCTGGAGTAACAGCCGTCGACTTTCGCGACAACTGCAATGCCGAATGCGAGGCAGCGTTCCGCGAGGCTCTCGTCGTGGACACAAGAAACTGGGTCAACGTAGATGTGACTCTCGACTCGTTCTACTCAAATCCACCCAACATATCCGACTATTCAGTCGGCGACCTCGTCAAATGGCAGGATATTACAGGCACACAGGCCGCTAGGATCTGGGCTATCCCAGCCGGAATGTCCTTGTCTCGATTCTTTTATATGAGTGAGGACATTGATGGAAAGCCCATCCCGGCGACCGCCTTCGCATTGATCCCCTGGTCCAACCCCCAAGGCAACGATAAACCATTCCGTACTCTGGTCTGGACCCACGGAACCGCTGGATACACGCGTCAATGTGCGCCGACAAACCACCGGTCTCTCTACTACGAGTGGGAGGGACCTTTTGCTCTCGCGCAAGCTGGGTATGCTGTTATTGCTCCCGACTACGCTGGTCAAGGAAGTGATATACCTCAGGGCTTCATGTACGAGTCTGGGGCTCTGCATGCCGCCGATGTCAGTCACGGCCTTCAAGCCGCCCGCAAGGCTCTTGGTGATCGTCTTTCCAAGGAGTGGGTGGTCATCGGTCACAGTGAAGGAGGATTATCAGCATGGCGCACCAACGAGCGAGAAGCCAAAGAGGGGAAGGCTGCTGGTGGATTCCTCGGTGCGGTGTCGGTAGCCCCGGCTCTTCGACCCCTCAGCCTCATCCCAGAGTCCTTCCGCCGTGCCAATGGGGGTCCCGTAGGAGATGTGGTGTCCGTTTACCTCCTTCAATCCATCTCCAAGCTGTACAAGTCTATTCGGGTGGAAGACTATGTCAGCGACATCGTGGCGAGCCTCATTCCTCTCTCCAACCAGGGGTGTCTACGCACTGGCGGTGTTGTTTTCGGCAAATTCACAGAGGAGCAGTTGTATAAGAATACAAGCTGGCTGACACATCCGGATGTCGTCGACTGGCAGAATCGCTTCAACGGGGTGGGTGCTCATGCACTTGCTGCGCCCATGCTGGTCGTGCAGGGCGTGAACGACACGTTGACTTACTCCCACACAATGGAGGAGGACCTCGAGGCTACGTGCAAGGAGTATCCCGATTCTGCCGCAGAATTGCTTCTTTACCCTGAACTCGACCATGATCCGGCTTTCCAGGCTGCGCAAGTCGACTACTTGCCTTGGATTGCTGATCGATTCAATAACGTCCCGGTGAAGCGTGGGTGTACAAAGAGGACAGTTGGTCCTGCGACGAAGCATTTTTCCATCACCCAGCAGTCGTGGGAGGGCATCGTTCAGGGCGGTTAGATATAGTTTCACGGTTGATCAGCTACCTTATGTATTTAATACAATACTTTTTCTAGACTGCAAAAGGCTGAGGCTGGGCATACCCTCGTTTAGGAATATGTCTTCAAATGGTCTACAGTTTGATATGAAACCTTTTAAATTAACTTAGTATTTGCGGAATTATTCTAACCAAATTCTGAATTACTTTGTCGCCCTTTTTTTTCTTTTTCTTTTTTTTTTTTTCTTCTTGGAGCAGTTCTTCCCTAACTTGTGTCCATGTAAGACTACTCCAGCAGTGAAACCATCACCACAAGCTTATTCGCGATCATTACTCTGATTGTAATTGCAGAAAAGCAATAGAAATTGGACGTAGTTTCGTAAGTGATTGTGCGTTCTTTTTATTACTGGAAATATGTTGCGAGTGATTAGAAGAAACCATTAGGGTTTTGGGGTAAAGGAGGCTATCTCTTAAGTAATGCTTCCTGTATAGACGCTTAAAATCATGAGGAAATGGAACGAATAGATGAAGTCATCCTTTGTTCTACTATGCTAGACCTATATCTATTGCTCGACCTGGTGAATGAACCATTCCTGCCACCCGGTGTTTGAAGGAAAAAAAAAAAAAAAAAAAAAAAACCTGACGCCAACTTGAGTTTCGGGTTTGTAAACCCGTAGCGGGAATGTCTCCGTCGGGGCACTGTTGTAGAGCGTTTGTCTAGGGCGGACGCAGTAGGGCGTGAGGAGGCTAAGATGGAGTCGGAGGAAGTTCCATTGTCAACTGATCGCGCACCCTCCAGCTCTTAACCTCAAAGCTAGATTTCTAGTTCGGGGCTATTGTTTCCAGGCATCGTTGTTCAAGCATCCAATCATGTCCCACAAGCGGTTTCCACCATTAGTACTGCAAACATCCGTGTTCTATGCTGCTTACCGATTTATAAGTTACAAATGCTGTGCTATTCTATGTAATCGGCATGTTCGCTCAACTACTGCCAAGTGTCACTAAGCGCGGGTGTAATAATTGAGTAGCGACTATCGATTTAACCAAACCTCAATAAGACTAATAATTATTTCTACTAATTATTAATTTCTTTTCATCAGCTTATTATTAATCATTTACCCACAAGTATTAGCCCAAGGTGTCCGGTAATAAGGTTAGAATGGATATAATGATGCTAGGCAGAGTGGATAAAAACTCTTTCCTATATGCCGCCGGTATAGCTGCTGCATAGACCTGCCTCGACTTGGCTTTATACAAGCCAAGGTAACCGCAGATGCTACAGATAGCTAAACGCGCCTATGCATCCGTTAGGGGCCATCCGTTATAATAGATCGTAGCTGGCTATAGTATGTTTACAAGTCTGTTTAGGGAGTTGATTCTGATTAGCCCCTTGATAAGCATACTTAGTTAATTGCTAGATAGCGCTCTAGTATCCCGGCAAGAATCATAGGAGTCCCACTAGAATCTCATTATGTCTTACCCCGTAGCGAGGAAACCGGTATATATAGTAACCGCAGAGGTTTGTTTAAGGTTCCTGTCTTTATTTTAGTTAGCCGTTATGCCTAGTCTCACTAAAATCGTATTAGAATATACCTTTCTTTAGCCTGCTTCTAGGCGAATAAGAGAAGATGGGTTTAGTGTCCGCTCTTTCTCCCGGTATCGGTAATGCCAGTAGCGACGAGGTCGACCAGTGCCGGCAGCCAGCCAGCCACCCCCTACGACTACGTTACTGAGGAAATCAACGCGACGCAATTACACAGATCCTATGCCTGCATATATACAATATTCAGTCAAACTTGCTGCATTCAGTTAGGTATAGAACTATATTTTTCCTTCAACTTTTCCGCAACTGTCTTTCCAACCTGCATGAATGTGCCGGCTTGCATCACCTCCAGTGCGCTGAAATGCAGCCCATAGGCTGAACGAAACCACCTTCTCAGCTCCACGGCAATGAGCGAGTCGACACCCATTTGCCCCAGCGTGGACTTGCTCACGTCTACTGGTGTGTCGGCTGGTTTCAGCGTCATATCTAGAACTTTGCGCGAAATGTGTCTCGCAAGGAAGCCGAGTTCCAAGTCGTCATCCAACACGGAAACATCTCTTGAAGCACGTGAAAGAAGATTCTTCAGGGTTTGGTCAGCGCCAGCTTCCAAACATGCCTCGTCATTGGTGTTATCATTTGGCCTGGTATTGTGGTAGAAACCCATGCGACGGTTGAAACGCCAGTTGGTGCGGGCTGCCTCGTCGTTCAGGTTGACAGTTGATCGCAGGCCCATGATGATCTGGGACCTGTCTGCCCAAGGCTTAGGCGGGTTTGCTGTAATTGCTAGCCTCGGGCTTTCGTCCTCATCAACCCTGGAGCGAAGGATGGACAGCTCAAGAGTGTCTAGAAATGCCTTCTCTGTCTCAAAACCCATGTCCTGAAATGCAACGGAGCGTCGCGCATGAGGATTCTCGGCGATATATCCGACACCGTCAATTGGGCTAATGTTCAGGACGCTGGCAGGCAGACCAAGAGTCCGTCGATACTGGCTGAAGGCTTCCAAAAAGGTGTTTGCGGCCCCGTAGTTTCCCTGACCGGTCTGATCAATAACGCTTACGAGCGAAGATGCCATCCAGAAAAAGTCAAGAGGTTCATGGAGAAGTTCGTTATGGAGATTGTATGTTCCCTGAACTTTGGGCGCAACAACAGCGTGCCAATCTGACCACGACATCTCGGTCATGGAAGCATCCTAAACCCCCTTTAGAATCTTCTGCAATTTGAAGGGGGAAAACTATGGGAACCCTACCTTGAGAACCATGGCAAGTTGGAATACACCTCGGATAGGAGCTTCAGCCGATCCGATGGCTCGTTTTACGTCCTCCACCTTGTCTACGCGCCCGGCAACCGTGACGGCATGGCAACCCATAGAAGCCAGTTCTCTGACCGCCTGTTTACTCACATCCGTCAATCCAGCGCAACGCGAAAGGAACACTAGGTGTCGCGCCCCCCTTTCTGCCAGCCACGTTGCTATGGACCGACCCAGCCCACCTAAGCCACCAACCAGTAGATAAGCTGCGTCCGGTTTGAATCTAACAGGCCGATACGTAGGGGCTGCTTTGAAACCCATGTCTTCTGGCTCAAGCCGTATGAGGAGCTTGCCTATATGAATGCCTTGCTGGAAATGCAGGAAAACCCGGTGCATTTCTAGAGGCGAAAATACCTGTTTTGGAGCCAGCGGAGTGAGCTTTCCGTTCTCGAAAAGAGAGACAAGCCTGCATAGGATGCGTTGGATAGTCTCTGGTCTCTCACGCACTATTTGTGCCATATTGATGCAGGAATAAGAACGGTTCTGCAAGAATGGCAGCATGTCAAGTTTACCGGAAGCAGCGATGTCTCTTTTTCCCAACTCCACTAGCATCCCAAAGGGCGCCACGCACTTCCATGAAGCATGTAGGAGGTCTCCAGACAGTGAGTTGAGCACGAGATCGACTCCTCTACCCTCAGTTTCGCGCATAACACCGCCCAAAAAGGAGTTACTTCGCGAGTCGAAGATGTGGTTTCGTGGAATGCCGCAGTCATGAACCAAGTGGTCAATCTTTTCAGGAGAGCTGACAGTTGCGAAAATCTCGGCGTCAAACAATCTGCATATCTGCACAGCAGCGAGACCGAAACCCCCGCATGCGGAGTGAATCAGCACGCTCTGGCCTTTCTCGACGCAGGCAACATCACAGATGGCCTTCCAGGCGGTACCAAAGCAGGCAGGAATAGTCGCTGCCTCCTCGAAGCTCACCGCGTCAGGTATCTTGCAAACTTGAAGCGCGGGAATGACAACTCGCGTAGACAAGCAACCGCCAGCGGTAAGGGCCATTACCCTATCTCCGACCGAGAGCCCTCGAACAGCCTGGCCGGTCCTTGTAACCACACCAGCGCACTCAACGCCAAAGCCTGACAGAGACGGAGACTCTTCAGGCAGGGATAGTAACCCGTTCGCAATTACTACATCACGGAAGTTGAGACCGACGTAACGCGGCTCAACCTCAACGGCGTTGTCGTCCAGTGCTCTGTCAATAGGTTCTTGTACCCATCGTAGTGTTTCCAGTCGACCAGGTCTCTCCATATCCAAACGCTTCCGCGTCAATAACTTATCATCCAAATCCCATGGCTGAGCGTATCCGGCTGCCGAGGCCGAGTTCGTCACCTCCGCAAGCTCGTCATTCACTGAGAATGGATGGTATCGACCAGTGCAGACAACACCGTCAATGACGGCAAACTCCTTGTCAGCATAAAGTTTTTCGTTTTCTTCCTCAGAGTCTCGACGGATTCTTCTAAAGACCTTCTCAACAATCTCCGAGAAGCATTCTTGCGAAGGTTCGATTTCGAGAGTACAAACGTTCAGACCTAGCTCGGCCCGTACAGCCTTTGCTGCCCCTATTCCTTGGGCAGATCGTGGATCGAGACATCCTATCTGTACAGGTCTGGCGGTCCAGAGAAGGTTCTGTCGTGGCTTCATGGTTTTAATCAGCTGTTTGTATTGATTGAAAGAGTGCTCCGTCATGTTTTCGAAGAATTCGGCTTCTAGATCCCAAAGACAGATAATGTCGGCATCGCCCCGCAAAGTCCCGGCAGACTCGGTGCTAGCAACCATTGTCTCCCATCCCATGGTTCGCAAAAACTCGACAAGATTCTGTGTCAAAGCTGAGTCTGGAACCTCTGAAAGAATCGCTACTGGCCCGCGAGTGGTGACACCACTTGGCGTCGGATCAAGCCTCCTGGAGACAATCGCCGCGCTGAAATGAAAAGGTTGCTCATCGTCATAGACCGCCGTATCAACACCCGTAAATCCGGCTCCTTTTAGTTCTTCATTCCAGCGAGAAACGGGAACATACGGTTCCCATTCCCTGCCGTCTTCTTGGCCGAGCCACCAGCCCGGTAGAGTGCCGAATATATACCCTGCACATCTCTTCAGACAACAGAGTTCTGTGATGACGATGTAACCTCCAGGCTTCAGTACCGTACGAAGGTTTGTCAGCGTGTTTGCGAGGGATGGTGTTGCATGAAGAACGTTGGCCGCGAAAACTATGTCGTACGACGCAGGCTCGAAGCCTTGAGACAGCGCGTCACGGGAGACGTCCAAGACTTTATACTCCATGTTGGGAGCATACGAAAACCGCTCCTTTGCCTGAGCGAAAAAGCCCGCCGAGATGTCAGTAAAGGTGTAAGTAGAGTACGAAGGCAAGCCGGCCTTGGTTTGTCGACTTCCAAGGAGGGACCTGACTATGAGCTCGGTCGTTGCCCCTGTACCCGCGCCAACCTCAAGAATGCGTAACGTAGGCCTCCAATGCGATACCACTTTGACAAAATTCCCGTAGTCAAAGCTCAGGTGGCTGTAAAGCTTGGTGAGTTCGTTGTCGTGCATAAGCACGTCGAGAACCTGTCCCTTCCCGGATGTAATGTCCTCGATGTTGTCGCATATCCGCTTGACAGCGATAGGCAAGGAGGTCCTTTCACTCTTCAACAAACAGGAGTAGACATTGTCAAGCAAGCGCCTTCTTTCGGCTGGTGACATTGTTGCCAAGGTTACCGCGTTCTTGAGAAATGGATGCTCACCCCTTTTAGCAGCCGCGATATCTCGAAGGAGCCATTCTCTGTATTTGACCATAAAACCCATTTGAGGTTCAAGCAGTCGAATTCGATCTGCAGATTCAAGAATGCATAAAAGAGTCAGCTCTTCGAGCATCAGAACCTCCTTTCTCTCGTACTTCCTCGGTGGCTGGATCAATGAGCCAACATCGAAGCACTCAGCGTCCGGGAGCCAGTAAAGTCTGGCTGCAGCGTGCGGGTCTACTATGTCATCATCCGGCTCATCTGGCCCAAGTATTCCCTCGCCCAACTGGGAAAATTGGGCGCCGCCGATGTAGAAGACCACAGAATTCCCGATCATGCATTCTACAGACGCGTCTGTCTCGGACCCCCAAGATGCAACACGTGCCGGACCATTGCTTGTATCTTCAGGGAAGCGTCTGACGTAGAGCTCTTGGATTTTAGTTGGCATAAGAGTTCTGTCCAGGTTTCGACCTAGACCCTGCGCCAACGATACAAATACTAGCTGGAAGCAAGCATCCATAAGCACAGGGTGCTGCACAAAATGGTTGTAAGACTCGTTAGGTTTGCGCACGAGCTCTCCAGTAGCCTCGCAATGAGTAGTTGCCGAGCGCACATCTCTTAACAGTAGAAACTCGGGTCCATAAGTTATACCTGCCCTTGACAACGCCTTGTAAAACTGCGACTCGTTCACCGTCCTCGGCAATCTTTGATGCTCGCGAGGACAAACGATTTTGTTCAATCTTTCTGCCTCATTGCAATGCTTTACTAGGCCTTCACAATGGAGTATCCAACTGGATCCGTTGTGGGAGCAAATGCTGAAAGTGAACCATTCAGATTGATAATCAATATCGCTCGTCTTGTACTGTCGCAAACTCGTCAAGACTTCCACAGCACTTGATTCCGGAAGCACCAAGGCTGTGCGTACTACGAGATCTTTGATAGTGTATCCGTCATCAAGTCCCGTCAGTTGTCTGATGGCTTCGCCGGCCATGGAAACGTAGCCGACCAGAGGAAAGACTACATCATCTTTAACTCTGTGATCAGAGAGCCAGGGTTCATTCTCGATGTGAATCATGTTTCTCCAGATCGGTTCTAAATCGGAAGACTCCACGAGGCGACTTCCAAGCAGGCAGTGGTGCGGATGCTTCCTGAAACGCCACTCTCTTGATAAGCGGCTTTCGTACCAGTATGTGTTGCTGTGATCCCAGGCATAGGGAGGTAATCCACCAATTGCTTTTCCTGTAGGGAAGACGAACGAAAGGTCAAGGCTTACACCTCGAAGAAACAGTTCTCCTATAGCCGAATGAAGCGAGACCCTGGAGTCTTTCCCCCTTGTGAGCGAGGGGACAAACTCACACCGCTGACCTGCAGCCACACAGTTTTGCCGCAGAGGTCCCGCAAGAGCCGCGTGCGGTCCGATCTCTAAGAATAAGCATTCTTCCAGCTCCGGGTCTTTCAGAAGATTGGCGACAGCCGTAGCGAAGCGAACGGGTGAGACGAGATTCTTTTGCCAATATGCAGGATCCTGAAGGGCAGAGGCTTCACAATGTTCCCCAGTGACACTTGAGAAAAAGCGAGTGTTGGGGGCGCAGGAAAGAGCCGACTTGCCCGGACCCCAGTTGCGGTCTATCATCTCCTGCTGGACCACGCGAACATACTTCCGGCCAGGTGCTAACATATGATGGGAATGATATGCGGTATCAACTCGCAAAAAACGACAGTCCGCGTCAGGACGATCTTTCTTGACCAGATGAATAGCCTCATCAACCTGTTGCTTGTCCCCAGATATCGTACTACTGGCAGGGCTATTCTCGCAGGCTATAACCACGCCAGTTCGTAAGTACGGAGATAGCTGTCTCGACCCAAGGCTCACAACGGCCATAGACCCAGGCGATGAAGCAAGTTCGGCTGCATTTGCGACTGTGAGACCGCGATAGTACGCTAGCACAATTGCTGCCTCAAGTGACAGCTTGTGAGCAGCATACGCTGCTGCGATTTCTCCTGACGAATGCCCAATGACAGCGCAAGGTCTAATGCCAGCTCGTGTAAAATGGTTAAATAAAGCAATCTGTAGTATTGTGCATAAAGGTTGTGAGAGAAGGGCGTTTCCAACGCGACTGCTTTCTGGCGGTCTCTGCAGCTCGCCTAAATAATAATACTTGTTAATCAAAGTGATGAGAGATTCGATGGAGGAGTTCACTTACTAATAACATCCCATGCAGGTGCATGCTGAAGGGTCTGCAGGATACAATCCATCCGTTCCAAATCAGCCCGGAAGCGAGGGTCGGTTTCAATCAGCTCCACACCCATTCGAGGCCATTGTGCCCCCTGCCCAGTGAAAATCATGACCACTTTTGGACCCTCTGAAGGTGCTTTGGAGTTGTTGAAACTCTCTACCAGCATTTCTCCCGTGTCATCCACAACTCGAAAAGCTCGAAAAGGCATTTTCTCTCTGCATCGACCAAGCGTGTAAGCTATGTCAGCGATTGGTACAGGACTCTCCTGAACAAAGGAATCATATTGTTGCTTATTTCTCTGTAGCGAAAGCAACGTATTTGCAGAGTAAAGGAGAATATGCGGGCCGGTGTGCTTGAGAAGCGGTTCTTGTCGCCTTGTTGCTTCCAGAATGACATGGGCATTGGCACCGCCGACGCCGAAAGAGTTCACCGAAACTCTTTTGGCCCGGCCACCTGGAAATGGGGTCTCTTTAGTGGGTACTCTCAAGCCAAACTTGGCAAAGGGAATGTTGGGATTGGGGTCAGTGAATTTGATGTTTGGAGGTACAAGGTCCTTCTCCAAGGCCATGACGGCCTTGATGGTGCTCACAAGGCCCGATGCGGCTTCAGTATGCCCAACATTGGGTTTTACGGAGCCTATGTAAACTTCATTCACATTACCACTGCCGAAGACTCTTCCTACAGCTGTAGCTTCGATAGGGTCACCCACCGGTGTACCGGTGCCATGAAGCTACAAAATGAACATGTCAGCGTCTTTCCTACCAACTCTAAACTCAACAAACTACGCAACTGCAATCTTAATGTTATCAAGCTTACTTCAACAAAGCGGGTTTCATGCGGGTCAAGGCCAGCATCGCTATAAGTCTGCCGCATCAAAGCTTCTTGGGCTTCGCCGTTGGGCTGCATGAGACCGGCTACCGCGTCAAGATTACGCCCATCAGTGTTGGTGCCAGTGCCCTTGATGACGGCCCTGATAGGATTGCCATCTCGTACCGCATCGTTCACACGCTTGATATAGAGAACCGCAATACCGTCTGCTCGAGCAAAGCCGTCTGCTTTGGCGTCGAAGGTGTTGCAAGAGCCCGTTGGCGAAATAATGCCATCAGATGACATTAGTGCCGTCATGGTAGGGTCGAGTAGCAGACTTGTACCGCCTACGACTGCACCAGTAGTGCTGCCGTTGCGAAGATCATTACACGCTGCATGGAGTGCTAGGAGGGATGCGGAACAACCTGTCTTGATCGCGTAGCTACAGAAAGGGCACAGTTAGTATAGGAACAGACACATTGTTGTCACATCTACACTAAAACAAAAACGATTTCAAACAGCTTTGGGATGCTCGATTTCCGGCACTGTCAAAGCAAAAGCCAATGTTTCGCAAATGCAGCTCCATATATCTCCAAAGTGATGAAAAATACGAAGACATACACGACCGGTGAACATCCAAAATGCTCACTTCCAAGCCACCGGAATTCAACACGGATTTTGCCTGCTCAGGGTAGCTCACCTCGGCCCTTTGAGATTAAACTGATAAGAAACCCTATTGGGTAACATAAAATCGGCGGCACCCCCAAGCACGTTGCCCTGGGTATGCTGTAGTTCTTTGGCGCTCATCCGAAGCCAATCCTCGGCGGAGGTGCCGACGTAGCATCCAATGGCTGCTCCGGCGTATTCAAGCTCGCCTGCGTCAGCAAGGGCCTCATACGTAGTCTCTAGCAATAATCGCTGCTGGGGATCGCATTTAGCGAGCTCGTCTTTGGACATTTGGAAGTGGGATACGTCGAGTTTGCCAAGCTCGGCCGTGTTAATGAAGTAGCCGTTGAGTGCCTTGACGCAGTTCTTTCCCCCGAGCCGGTCGGTGAATCCATGAATGTTGTACCGGTCAGGCGGTACGGGCTCTTGCACGTCTCGGCCTTGTGATAAAACAGACCAGAACTCTTCAGGAGTGCGAATTCCTCCACCTAATCGGAGGGACATGCCACAGATGGCGATGTCTGGGGCCTCTTGTCTGGTCATGGTATGTAGCGGTAGTTGTTGATGAATGACGAATGAAAAAAGCGAAAGAAGTTCATCAAAGCACAAAGTCGACTGAGAGCGATCTTCCAACCTTTTCTAGATTCACTTCTAGTAGACCAACAGACTATAAACCAAATTCACTTTCCGAGTAGAACCTAACAGGATAATATTATATATTTAAACTTGACAACAGTATTAACCAAGCGAATATTTGGCCGCGCAATGAAAGATACTCAACCGACATCGGCGTTGGAACAAGGGCATATATGAATTTATATCCGTCTATTCTTAGCGCTTTGAATGCGGGAAACTGCAGAGCATGACTGCCCAAAAACATTGTGATATGGGGGTAGGTAGCATGTTCAGAAGATTGTTATAACGATCAAGGTTCAAGTCGTCAGTCTAGGTTTCGGAGTGTTCCTTGCCACTATGTGCCCCAAAATCCCATATTCGCTATGGGAGGGGTAAATCGAACCATGGCTTCAAGAAACAAAATTTCATCAAATTCTCTGTGAAAGATCTCCAATTGTCTTTAGATTCAGGTATACTAGGTCATCCCTTTCTGATTTACTTTTACCACAAGCAACGCGTTGATGTCTAATATGAATCAGGTAGAACCTTGATTAAAAGTAAGTATCATGGCCCTTGCGAAGCGGGCGTTTTATGGCACTCGCTAGAATACGAAACAATAAGGCATGGTCATAACAAATGCCGAAGCAGAGTCAAACCTATGTTGTGTAGTGCAAACACTATTGCAAGTCATGTAAACTTTGAGTTGCTTTGTATCTTAAAGCTACTCTATGGCTGGTCTAAGGGTTAGGGTAGTTGTGCAATGATCATTAATTGATCGCCTATTGAGATGCCAGTGATTGCTATATGTTTAGCTTCTACTCTCCAGTACTCCTTGTGCGACATCGAAAATTTGCCTTCTCAGAAGGAGCAAATCTCCCTCAAACTTCCCACGACTCGCGACCGACCAATTTCTCCTCGGTGCAATTGAAACGACAGCGCCCTTTCAGACATCAGCGGCATATCGATAATAAAGGATATCATGGAAACTAAGTTGAACGGGTTGGATCTAAGCGACCTCTATGTTTGTGATCTACCGGAGAATGTTTGCACTGCCGAAATCGAAACAATTTCCGTCAAAGGCCTTTTGGAGCAGGACAAAGATGAAGCAAAGCGTCTCTTCCAGTCTTGCCAAACTTACGGAGTATTTCTACTCGATCTCATGGACCACCCTAAAGGCAAGCGGTTCTTGAGTGACATGGCCGACACTGTCCGGATTGCTCAGCACGTATTCCAGTCAAAGACTCTGGAAGAGAAAAGAACTTATACAACGCGACCTCGGGTAGGCATCATGGACAAAGGGTGGGTAACAGAAAGACCATCTAATGCCTGTCAGTCTTGCGCCACTAACACCCCGTAGTTACATAGCCGAGGAAACCACACCTACTGGAGAAGTCAAATCTCACGAAGTCCTCAACGTAAGATAATTACGGCAGTTGCATATCCTTCTTTCGGCTCGCTGACTTCCATAGGTGCCAAACTATGAGCTTTTCAGTGCTGGAGCACCTGCCCTCGAGCTACCGCCTTGGCTGGCTCCTCACGAAGCCATGTTCCGTCAAGTGGCAACCTCCGGTAACGAAATCGCCAACACCATTCTTGCCTGTCTGGAAACACAGTTGAAGCTAGCTCCTGTGACGTTGACCTCGGCACATCGCCTAGAGGATCCGTCTAGTGACTTCTTACGTCTGGTACGGCACCCAGGGTTCGGAGCCCGAGAAGATGGAGAGCGAGTGTCGTTTCACGCGCACAGAGATCTTTCATCACTGGGTCTCCTCCTTGCCCCGTTACCGGGTCTTCAGGTCGAGCACCCAAGCGAACCGGGAGTGTTCAGATGGGTCAGGCCCAAGCCTGGCACCATTGTCGTTAATGTCGGCGAGGGTTTGCAAATTCTCACAAATGGTGTACTAAAAGGTGTTCTCCATCGCGTTGTGAGAGTGCCAGGCCACCTCACCGCTGTGGACCGTGTTAGCGCTCTGGTGG